AAGGAGTGAGGACGTCGGGCTTCTACTCACGCCGAGTCTTGGTTCCTGGGTCGTCTCTGGTCTGCAAACTGCAGGATGAAGATGTCCGCTCCTTGTCGGTTCTTGCTGGTGTTGAGTAGAATCCACTCGCCCGCTGCGTCTGACTCCTTCATCCCGGGCTCTCTGTGGTTCAGGTATGGCTGCGGCCACCGCTGCGACCATGCCGCCGCCACAGCGGCTGCTGGCAAGCACTCAGATGTGTCTCCTTGCCTTGGCTTCCCCTCTGTTGCCTAACTCTCTGTCCTGTGATGGCACACTTGGTGTGATTCTCTGGCTTAGGACTGTTCACTGGAACTCTAAAACTGCTTTCTATGCGAGAGCTTGTTCAGAATCCAGCTTCTCCTCCGCCATCTTCCCGGAACTCTCTCAAGTTGTTTTTTTTTTTTTTTAAAGTTACTTTATGTGCATTTTGTGCCCCTATTGCCTCTTTCTGTCTTTATCTTCAGACCTGCCGCTTGAGCTCTTCTATATCTCAAATAACACTTGTCTCCTAAATCTGAATCTGAAACATTTTAAACTACTACAAGCCTGAGTTTTTACTGACAGACGCCAAAAGGAAATGCTAGCACACAAGATGAAAAAAAAAATCAGTCTTTAACTATTGGAGATAAGAATCTCATGGACTTTCCTGCCCAGAACTTTCCTGCCCCAGTTGGCTTTGGACTTTGATCCTCAGATCTCAGCCTCATGAGTAGCTAGGAGTACAGGCATGAGTCACTGATGCCTGGCTTTACCCCTGTTTTAATTTAAAAAAAAAAATCCCTGCTAAAATTTAAAAGAAAAAAAAAAGATTCAAAAATTCCAGACTCTCCAAGAATTCCAGACTCCCTTGCTTGTAACTAACAAGCTATATGACACCTTGAGAAATTTATTTTGAAATGATATAATTCCATTTTGAGGGCAGTAAAATAAAATGTTGGTTACTATAGTCTTAATGGTCCATTCAGTTATTTGTCTAACAACAACTGAGAAAACCCATATGTACTGCAGTAGGAGTATGATACAATGGTATCATGACCCATTAAGTCAGAGTGGTTTTAACAGAAGAAAAAAAAAACTTCATGTGATAAGACTATATTTAAAAAACAATATGATTCCATGGGAAGGCAATCACTGTGAGGACAGACAGGCAACACAGCCCTAATAGAGATGTTGTCATTTATGTTTCAGTTCTAAAATATTCAAATACTCTCTATAGGGCTATATTTTTCTTTTAAGATATTTGTAGGACTCCTCTGTATTATTACAGAAATCTGTGATGAGAAAACACACCTCCTCTTTGAAAATGAAAAACCTTTGTTACTTTTTCACTGCAATGCAGTTTAAAAGCAGGTATGAATTGAACACAGTAATTCTTTTAGAAGGTACATTCTGTTTCATACTAAATTGGACCATATATATCATCAAATGATTCTAGCATTATAGTTATGGGAGAGTGCTTTAAAATTATACATCAAAGAAATAGTTCTGTTAGTCTCTCTTAATGGGAACTGCATTAGCCAGAGTTGCTGTCAAAGTAATAGTCTCATAGAACTGCTCATTTTTTCAGAGATTTACAGACTCCAATGGTTACATATTCACTGGAAAAGCATATAAACTTGCATGGTTCTACAAATATTTTATTATGTGAGACTAAAGAATAGCCACACTGCATCAAAATTCATCTTGTAATTATCACTTGAGCAATCTTTTCACAAAGGCGTAAGATAAAGCAATTGTCAACACTAGGTCTATGAGAGACAGAATACTATTAAACAAGAGCCTACCACTGCACCTAAGTTTCCACTTTGAACTAACTGGCCTTTCTTAAAAACATGTAGAGTTCTAAACTCAATTCTAAAATAAAAAACTGACAACCCCAAGTGAACTCACTTTTCTCTAAACTAATAAAAGTCTAACCTTAAAATAATGGTATTCTCAGGATGCTCAAAAAGAAAAATGACCAGTGAAGAAACTGTCAGTGTCCCCACTATTTTCACACTATGACTACAGTGTTATTTCCCACTTTCATTGTTCTGACTTTTCCACTGAAGGCAGGAGAGCAGTGATAACAGAACTACTGTACCTGGACACAAATCAAGGCAGCAAAGTATTGTACTAGTAATCACTGCCTTTCCGCTCACAGCTTAAAACAGGTCATTTAGCCACTTAACAAGTCCTGGACACAACAGTAAAATGCAAGAACTTGATTAAATCTCAGCTCTTGAATACATGTTTTACTAATGTACTGAATAACAAAATGGGAAGGACATGTGGAGTTTCTGCGTCATACTTACATATGATGGGTACCTCAGGAAAAAGCATTCAGGAAATGGAGCAACAATTTGAACCAACTGATTTTTCTTTCTTTTGTTACCAACACCCCCCCCCCCACAACCTCCCACCACCCGGGCAAAAGTACTGAGGTGTGAACTCAGGGATTCAGAGTTGTTCAGCTTGCTTGCTTGCTCATCTGGCATTCTACCACTTAAAGCCACCCCTCCAGCCTCCCACAACACTATTTTTTACTCGCAAAAATTAACTAGCCACATCTGTATGGCTGTTCAGATGTCCAGCAGTATTTGACAAACATTTACTCACAATGACAGAGGTGAGACTGTCACTTGAAGGACATTGACATAGCATTTGCTGTAACTGCTAACACAGTATTTTACCTTTCAGTAGAAAATTAGACTGTGCAAAACTTCTACCTCCAAGAACTTGACTGTATCTCATTATTTCAAGCTTTCTCTGGTGAGACTAAGGTAGTGACCTTAACGGATGTATGGTGGATTTTATTTAACTGGTTTAAAATTTGGCACAAACTCTACTCAGGGCAAGAAGATTTAAGAGGAGATTTTAAACAAGAAGCTTCTGGAAGAGGAGATTGCTCCTGTTTGCAAGGAAAGTGTTCAGAGGCCAGCTTCTTTCTGAGCAGTGTGACACATGGATATGAAGCCTAGAGCTGCTGCCATGATTGAGATCCCTAAGGGAAGCCAATTTCTAGATGAAGCTGACACTGCAGAAGGCAGAGAGTAGGAGGAAGAAACTAAGTTACAGCACTGAGGAGCTGAATTAAATCCTTCTTACAAGCCAGGCTGCCTCTGGACCACAAAGCCGAGCCTCTGAAAGGCTGAAATCAATCTGAGTTGGGTATTCTATTATTTATAGCACAAGCCTCCAAAGATAAAGAATACCTTCTGATTAATGAAAGTTTCAAAAATAGTATGAATGTAACACTTTTACAATTGAAGAAAAGCTGTTACTCTGAAAATAGACAGTGGATGTATAGTTTCATATGGAAATCATATTATTTTAACTTACCTTTTCAGTGTTCTTGTATTTTTCCCATCCCTTTAACATTTTCAACCATTTGGTAGTTCTTTCGATTTCCAAATGTTTTTGCTAAAATAAAATTGAAATATATGTTTTTATTATTTGTTTGAAGCTTATTTATAAAACTACAAAAATAAAATGCTGTTAAAGCTGTGCTATCTTATTTTTTAAAATCTCTTATTTTTTAAAATCTCAATTTTTTAAATTGGATGTTAGTTATATAAATATAGAATTCTACATTAAGAATTATAAACCAGACACTGGTGTCTCATGCTTATAATGCAGCTACAAAGAAGACTGAGATCTAAGGATCACGGCTCAAAACCAGCCCCAACAGAAAAAGTCCATGAGACTTTTATCTCCCATTAGCCATCAAAAAGCTACAAGTGGACATGTGTTTAAGTGGTAGAGCACTAGTTTTGAGCAAAAAAAGCCAAGGGAAAGCAAGGGAGGGACACACACACACACACACACACACACACACTTATAGAGAATATATCATTTAAGTAAAATTATATACATACGGATGGATAGTTTATTCTTGATAATAATTTAAGGTAAATCACCCAAAACCTTGTGTGTAATTTTTTTTGTGTGTATATGACAGTCCTAGGACTTGGACTCAGTGCCTAGATACTGTCCTTGAGCTTTTTTAAAAAAAATTTATATATATATATATATATATTTATTGTAAAGATACTGTACAGAGAGGTTACAGTTGCATGAGTAGGGTAATGAGTACATTTCCAATCAAGCATTGTTACCTCCTCCTTTGATTTTCCCCCACCATCACTTCCTTCCCTCCCTACCTCCCCACCTCCTTCCTCACCCCCCCCCCATTGTAAAGTTCATTTTCAACATAGTGTCCTTGTATATTTCATCATTACAATGGGTCAACCTGCATCCCCATTTAAGTATTCCACTATACCCCTTCTCCTCCCCTAATTACAAAAATGTATATACAAGATGCAGAATACCAGAATCAAATACAGTGAAAACAGGGGTTATACCGTGAGGGGAAGAACTTAGAAAAGAAACAAAAGAATCACATAGTGCATTATAAGTACATTAAAAACAACAGCAAGAAAGAAAAAACACCTTGTGTCCCTGTCTTGGGGAACATTTTGGTTAACATCATCTCATTGTCCCTGAGCTTTTTTTGCTCAAGGCTAGCAGTCTACCATTTGAACTATAGCTCCGCTTCTGACTTTTTGGAAGTTTATTGGAAATAAAAGTCTCATGGACAGGCTGGGAAGGTGCCTCAGTGGTACAGTGCTTGCCTTGCATGCATGAGGCCCTGGGTTCGATTCCTCAGAACCATATAAGCAGAAAAAAGCTGGAAGTAGAGCTGTGGCTCAAGTAGTAGGGTGCTAGCCTTAAGATGAAGAGCTGAGGGACAGCATCTAGGGCCAGAGTGCAGGCCCCACGACAAAAAAAAAAAAAAATTCTCATGGACTTTTCCGCCTGAGCTGACTTCAAACTATGATCCTCAGCTCTCCAATTTCTGAGTAACTAGGCATAAGCCACTAGTCCCCAGGTACATATGTGTGGGTATATACATATATGTGTGTGACTTATATAGAGATTAATACAGATATACATTAAAAAGGAATATCTTAAATATCTTCATGCTGAGCACTGGTAGCTCATAGTTGTAATCCTGCTATTTGAGAGGCAGAGATAGAGAAAATGGCATTTCAAGGCAAAATTTCCATTCCACCAATGTGGTGGAGCATGCTTGTCATCTCACCTAGTGGGGACCGAGATTAGACTGTGGTTCCAAGCTAGTCTGGTCAAAAAAGTTTGTGAGGCCCCATCTCAACAGAAAAACTGAATACAGTGGCACACACCTGCCATCCCAGCTACAGAAGAAAGTATAAATAGGAGTATTGAAGTCCAGTCCAGCTTGGGCAAAATCCAAGACTCGATATTTTAAAAACCAGAGCAAAAAAACAGGTACTACTTAATAGGAAGAGCACTTACTCAGCAAGTACAAAGCCTTATTTCAAATTCCAATACCACGGGGGTGGGGGAAAGGAGAAGAAGGGGGAATTGAAATATCTTTAAAAAAAAAATTCAACTTCAAAATTTGATAATTTTCCCTCATTTTCCTACATTCCCATATATTAATATTTTCACTGACAGAATTTTTGTTTTTTAAAGAAGAGCTTTCATTTATTCATTCATTCCCTTATGGTATGCATAAGTAGCTAGAGAAAAAATATACAAAAAAAGCCCTCAAAACTCTTATATGTATTTTTTCAAAATATTTGTAGTAAACTTGTTCAACCACTTAAAAAAAATAAGTAAGCTAATCTTAAACAGATTCTGCATGTGTCAGAAGAATTGAAATGAATGAAAAGATTTGGGACTGTGGCTCATGTGGTAGCAAGGCATACATAAGTAATAGTCAAAGCCTGATACTCTTCACTTCTTTGGTTTCCAGAAGCACTTTATTTATTTATTTATTTATGCTAAGTACACCTGGGAGTACAATAAGTATATAAACTAAAAGCAGGGCTGGGAAGGTGGCTCAGTGGTAGAGCGCTTGCCTTGCATGCATGAGGCCCTGGGTTTGATTCCTCAGCACCACATAAGCAAAAAGAAAAAAGCCGGAAGTGGTGCTGTGGCTATAGTGGTAGAGCACTAGCCTTGTGCTGAAGAGCTGAGGGACAGCACCCAGGCCCAGAGTTCAGGCCCCACGACCGGACCCCACCCCCAAAAAAAAGCAATGGATACCAGGTGCTGGGCACTAGTGGTTCACATCTATAAGCTAGCTGATACTCAGGAAGCTGAGATATGAGGACTAAAGTTCAAAGTTAGCCCAGGGAAGAAAGTCCTTAAGACTTACCTCCAATTGACCATCAAAAGGCCAGATGGTTCAAGTGGCAGAATGCCAGCCTTGAGCAAAAAATCTCACAGACAGTGTCTAGGCCCTGAATTTGAGCCTGAGCATTGTACACAGTACGTATGTGTATACACACACACATACACACACACACATACACACACACAATGGGAACAGAAGATTGCACAAAAAAAGAAACTATTCTGAGGATATATCTTTTTCTTTTTTTCTTTTTGGTCAGTTGTGGGGCCTGAACTCTGGGCCTGGGTGCTATTCCTCAGCTCTTCAGCTCAAGGTGAGTGCTCTACCACTTGAGCCACAGCACCACTTATGGTTTTCTTGTGGTTAATTGGAGATAAGAGTCTCACAGACTCTTCTTGCCTGGGCTGGCTTCAAACTGAGATCCTCAGATCTCAGCCTCCAAGTAGCTAGGATTACAGGTGTGAGCCACCAGCACCTGGCTGAGGTTATATCCTATACATGGGGACCCACGCAAGCATCCCCATAACCTTATGAGATAGATGTCTGCCCACCTGCAATTTGCAAGGCAAATGGTAAAGGTAGAGGGCTGGGCTCCAGGACCTGTACTTTTAACTACCACATCTTTGTCTCAGACTATCTTGTCTCCTGCCCTTATACAGGCAATCACACTTATATTGGCAGATGGCATACGCCCACCACCAATATTTTTAGATCTAAAAGAAGCATAAATCCCAAAGAAAATTCTGAATTTAGGAAAAGATTCTCACCAATGAGGACATTTTTATAAAATTTTATTTTTAGGTATATTCTTAAAATCTTTTTTTTTCATAAAAAGTTAAATTTATAATAAAAGATGATCACTCATGAGGAAAGGATACTGTTGTAATCCCCATTTTCTTTCCAAAACACTAAGCACAGTTTCATTACATTAGTGATACAATGATGCAGATGGTTTCAAAAATATGTTTAATTTTAAAACTCAGAAGGGCATTAAAATCTAATTAATGTTTCTGCTAAATATAACTGTAGAGAAGGCTAAGCTGTGAAAAACTGAAATTGATCCATGCTGCCCTTTTTTTTTTTTTAATGCTGTTGTTGTTCTTCTATACTTCTTCAAAGTATAATCCCTCTTTCCACCAAGAGGAAAACTCCAAATAATTCAAGCCAACTCAAGAGTATAATAACTTATACTGTGCCAGGAACAACCCTGCAGTGATATAGCGGGTCTCTAGCTATCTTTCCTTTTTATGATTTAGAATTATCAAAGAATCACTTTAGGAAGTAGTCATTCTTTTAAGAAAAAGACATACTGGGCTGGGAAGGTGGCTCAGTGGTAGAGAGCTTGCCTTGCATACATGAGGCCCTGGGTTCGATTCCTCAGCACCACATAAGCAAAAAGAAAAAAGCTGGAAGTGGCGCTGTAGCTCAAGTGATAGAGCGCTAGCCTTGAGCTGAAGAGCTGAGGGACAGAGTCCAGGCCCAGAGTTCAGGCCCCACAACCGGACCCCCCCCAAAAAAAAAAGAAAAGAAAAAGACATACTATATTCTAATGTTTACCATATATTAGATATATTAAATATTATATATTTTCACATGGCAAGTATAAAACACATACACACGATTTTAAAAACCATAAAGAATGCTTTTCTTTTCACATACATAAAGTTATGCCTTGGGAAAGCTTCCAGGCTGTTAGATTTAAAAATTTTTATATACCTATAAGTCAATTAAGCATAAATGTTAACTCCATAATGTTGTCAGTTCAACTACACTAGGTTGGAATGCACATGAAAAGTCTTCCTCTCCCTACCCATGAATCTATAATTCATGGCTAAGAAATACTTTCTATCAAACGTTAAAGCTAACTATTCTAACAACTACTTTAAAGTAACAAGTAACTGAAAATGTATGTGGCAAACAATGCTAACTGAAGTGCCTAGAAAAATATGCTAAAGAACATCAAGTTGCCAAAGGCACAGTAACACCAAGACAAAACTAGACATAAAAGGCATACTCAATCTCTACTGAAAAGTTCAATGGACAGTAAGCCAAAACAATTTCCCCAAATATGGCTGCTCCCTGAAATGAATACATGAATTAATATATCTTTATGCACTACCAACTTGTTTTAAGTCTCCCTCTTAGTTCCTATCCCCAAACCATACTCTGCTGGCTCCAACCTCTGTCTCTCTGTCTCTTGTTTCCCTCCTGTCCTTTGCCTTCACTCAAACAATCATAC